CTAAGGATCCTATTTTCAGTTTGCCTCTTAGAGTCTTTGGTTGTAGTTGCTTTGTTCATGACATGAGTCCTTCTCGCCTGAAACTTGACCCTAAATTTGTCAAAAGCATATTTTTGGGCTACTCTTCAGTCCAAAAGGGGTACAAGTGCGTTGATCCCCATACTAGTTGAAGGTACGTATCTAAGGATGTTACATTTCTTGAGTCTACTCCATATTTTTAGTCCACTTGTCCTTCTCTTCAGGGGGAGAGTGTTTGTGAAGATCGGACTCCTTTTTGTTTCCTTGTTCCTACCTCTATGGACATTCCTAGTTCGTTTTCCCCTTGTAATAACATCATTCCTCCTCCTGTTCCTCTCCAACAATCCTGACAATAGTGGTTTATAAGGCGTAGAAGGAAAGATACTCCTAAGGCTAAATGTCCATAACAATCGAATCACTCGATTCCAAGTAACTCTGAAAGCAACCCTAAACTTCGTTCTCCTACTGTTATTGAGCCTAATGTCTCACAATCTGACATTGACCTTCCCATTGCAGTTAGAAAAGGAAAAAGGAAATGCACTGCCTACCCCATCACTAACTATGTTTCTTATGATGCTCTTTCACCTTTCTATCAAGCCTATGTTATTGCTATCTCCTCTGTTTCTATTCCTCATAATGTTTCAGATGCAATTCAGTCACCTCAGTGGAAATGATGCTATGAATCAAGAGATAGAGGCCCTCTTAAAAAACCATACCTAGGAGCTTGTTCATCTTCTTGAAAGGCAAAGTCCCAATGGGTTGCAAGTGGGTGTATACCATTAAACATCGGACTAATGGATCAATTGAAAGATACAAAGTTAGGTTGGTGGCAAAATGATACATCCAAACATATGGGATTAACTATCAAGAGACTTTTGCTCCTGTAGACAAAATGAACTCTATCCGAGTTATTATGTCTCTTGCTGCTCATTATTCATGGCCTCTATATTAGATGGATGTGAAGAATGCCTTCCTAAATGGAGATCTTCAGGAGGATGTATACATGTATTTACCACCGGGGGTAATCTTACCCAACAGTGAGGGGAAGGTTTGTCATTTAAGAAAATCTCTTTATGGGCTTAAACAATCATCTAGAGCTTCATTTGATAGATTCAGGAAGGCTATTCTCAAAATTGGATTTACACAATCACAAGCGGACCTTGTTGATAGTGTATGTGGATGATATTGTTGTCACTGGAGATGATCACTCTAGGATAAACCAACTAAAGTCATTCCTTGCATCTGAATTTGAAATCAAAGATCTTGGGAATCTCAGATACTTTCTTGAAATCGAAGTGGCAATGTCAAAGGGAGGGATATTCATTTCACAGAGGAAGTATGTCCTTTATCTCCTTCATGAGGTTGGAAAACTGGGGTGTAAGCCAGTTGAAACTCCTATTGACTCCAATCATAAATTGAGTGCTGATGATGGAGATATTCTGCTAGACAAGGATGTCTACCAGAGGCTTGTTGGTCGGCTTCTTTACTTGTGCCTAACTCGACTGATATATCCTATGTTGTTAGCATGGTGAGTCAATATATGCATAGTCCTAGAACTTCACATATGCAGGTTGTTAACAGGATTCTTGCCTACCTAAAGGGGTGTCTAGGCAAAGGAATGTTATACTCTAACCAGGGACATCTCAAGGTTGAGGCTTATACTGATGTTGATTGGGCAGGTTCTATAGATGATAGAAGATTCACCTTCGGTTACTACACCTTGGTAGGGGGTAATGTTGTGTCTTGGAAAAGCAAAAAACAATCTATTGTTGTCCAATCTAATGCTGAAGCTGAATATAGAGCTATGACTCATGGTGTATCGGAGCTGCTATGGTTGAAGTCCTTGTTATCAGAAATTGGGATCCAAACTGAAACCCCAATGATGCTACACTATGATAATCAAGCTGCCATAAACATTGCTCATAACTCTGTTCAATATGACTGTACAAAGCATATTGAAGTTGACAGGCACTTCATTAGAAAAAAGATAGCTAATGGAGAGATATGTGTGCCTTTTGTTAGGTCAGAGACCAACTTGCTGATTGCCTCACTAAAAGTCTCAACAAGTCAAAACTTGATAGAAACTTGAGCAAGTTGGGCATGATAGATATCTATGCTCAACTTGAGGGGGAGTGTTGAGAATGTGTATTTGGCTTTAGGGGTATTGTTGTCTTTTCTTATTATTTGTATTTTGGGCACCCTTAGGGACATGACTGTAATTTCATATTTAACATATAATGGAATATTTTAGGTGTGAACAATAACATCCAATTCTCTCCCATACCTCTTCTTCTTCTTCTTCTTACACTCAATAACTGTGTGCAAGTCAATACTTGAGCCTAGTTGAACCTTTGCCTCTAATACTACTGTTGTACAATAAGGGGAGTTGTCAAAATTAGGGAACTTAAACATATGTAGGATATACACATTGGAGTTAATACCTTTAACCCCAAAGCTTGAACTATTTAATTGTGGGCCAATCCTTGTATATAAAGTCCTTTTCATTCTTATCTCTTTTCAATGCGAGATTCTACATTGACACGTGCATTTTAACATGAGATGGTTTGATCATGTACATAGAAGGCATTTGACATCATCTATCTATTACAAATAGAAGGGACTAGAGGAGCTAGGAGCATGCTAAAAGACTTGGGTAGAAATATAAGAAACAATTTAAATGTCTATAACAATGAATATGACACAGAACAAAACAGAATGGACAAATACATTTCACGTAGCAAACCCCATATAATCGGGATAAGGCTTAAATGATGATTATGCCTATAAATTTTAGCTATTTGAGTATTTCCGATTCTTATAGTAAGTTCTTTCTTCTAACTAGACCATGTAAACCATTTCTAGTATGGGACTGCCCTTGTGTTTTTTGAGAACCAAACCAATGGACTTGTGTTTTAAAATTATAAGCATAAAGTGATTTTGTATCAATAAAAAATCATTAAGGCCCTGTTTGATTTCTGGTAAATTACTTACTCAGATAAATGTATTTACCCAGGTAAGTGATACCTAAGAAAAATAAATTTTCTACAAAACCACATATATCTGAAAAAAAGAACATGGGTATCTTGATCAATGGGAATCAAAGTCCCATTGACCAACTTTCCCCTAGCCCCCTCTCAAAATCCAAAAAAAAAAAAAAACAGACAAATGAACCCTAAAAATCACTCTCCTTGACTAGCGTGGTTTGACAAGTTGTTAAGGATTAATAACTCCACTCTCTCATATATTGGGATAGTGGTTTGACAAATTATTGTGTGGATTTAAAAGCATTCTGCTCAAAGCATCTTAAGACTCTAATCTGGAGTTAAATTAGTAGAGGTAGATGTAGATCAATAGAGACATGATCCTTTGGAAATATTCAAATACACATCAGTACATAGTGAAATCCGCATATAAGTGCTATTTAAACTTTCTCTCTGTATCTCATACAAATGTAAACTAGAGGGAGATGTGAAAATTAAAATTTCCTTTCAAATTTCAGCTTTTCTTATGCAAAACTTATTGGGGATCCATCAAAAAGAAAAGACAAATTGAATTTTTTTAAATCCTATGAGCAATATTGTTTGTTCATATAGAGAACTCTTGAATCATATTTTCTTCTCTTACCAATACGCCAGAGCTATTTGGTTCGGGCTTCAGAAAAATATATCTAAAGTAAACACTCTAGGAAAGTTATTTCATAAAATAATAGAACATTGGCAGAAGCCAAAAATGGGAACTTTGGTGTATATATATAATAATAATAATAATAATAATAATAATAATAATAATAATAATAATAATAATAATAATAATAATAATCTAAACAGACATCAAAATTTCCAATTATTTGATTTGAACATGTAAACAAATACATAAATTATTAATTATCCTATATATAAGATTCAAAGCATAATTAAATTCAATATATAATACATAAGTATACATGCCTTAAAACAATAATTTAATTATAAGTACCAAGGTTATTTTAGTAAATTCAATGTGTAAATCGGAAGAGTCAAGTTTTACCTAACTGTACCCTAACTGCACCCATACAGGTTGTAAAATCTAAGAACCTGTCCCCACCGCAAAATTCATTCTTCAGTTAAGACATAAAAATCATGTATATTTGTATCCTAAATCACAAAATTAGCTCATTCCAAAGACAAATGTATCTGTTAAGGAGGATCAACATAAACTTGATATTAAACGCATTTATGCTAATGGCTCTTTGATGCAACAATTGGAGAGAGCTGCTTGTACTTACCATCATTGATGGCAATGACAGGGTGCTTGCAGCAATTGGGGAATCATGGAAGCAAAGATTAAAAGAATTAAGGATATTATAGATTATTCTAATGCTAAACAAATAGTAAACCTGATGCAAAGCAAATCCACTAATTGTGTGTGGACAGAAAGTTGCTTTAAATATAAGGCCCATTCTTTTTTTGGATTTTGAGAGGGGAGAAAGTTGGTCAATGGGATTTTAGTTCCTATTGATCAAGATACCCATGTTCTTTTTTAAGATTTATGCGGAAATCATAGAAAATTTATTTCCCTGGTACGCTATCTCCCAGGTGGATAAATAACTCTCATTTGGAAAAAAGTTGCCAACACTTGAATTGAGCAACATTACCCCTTTTAATAATGGTCTTTTATGGCTAAAACAGACGTTTTCTTATTTATCTGGAAAATAAAAGAATATGGATAAATCTGGGTAAATAACTTTCCCGAAAAACGAATGGGGCCATAATGTTATGATGTTATCTTTCGCTTGTAAAAGGAATGTAAATATTACCTATCAGTTATCTGCTAGGGGACTATATGTAAATATTTTTACTGATTAGACAATTAATGAATTATTGATTTTTTTTCTAAATAAATAAAAGATATCTTGGCTCTGCAATTTTTTCTCAGTTTATTTACTTCCGAAGCACATAACATAATCAGTTAAAACAAGAAAATACAGATATACGTATCAGAAATTCAAAAAACTATCCACCTAAAATTAGGTGACCAAAGGAAAATCCCAGTAAAATCCAACCATCCAAGTAAAATCCCAGAATTAGCAACTGTACATATTATTCCCTGTAGGGAAATTCCATGAAGGAATGAGCTACAGAACCATTTTGTTTCCATTTTCACTAAAAAAGGAAAAAAAAAATTATCCAGGGAAGAAAATATCCTTTGAATTTTACAACCAATAAAAACTCCATCATTGAACCTAAACTCTAGATGTTCCAAGTTTTCGTTCAAACAAGCGACGAAGGAGATAGACTTGGAGAACACTAGCTCCTATTAGTGCTGCTGACTCAAACATGGCCTTATGTATTGCCCTCCGGCTCATTCCTTCATTCACTGCGGTTTGTTTGTCAGCTTAAAATCAGAATTAAAAGAATGATGGAAATATAAGATCCATTATAATATCTACTTTTGCTGGAAATGCAATGAAAATTATGCTAGTTTCCCAAATATAAAATTGAAATAAGAGAACTCTTCAATCATTGTTTAAACTTCTCTTTATATCATAAGGAAATGCTAGAGAAAAATGTAAATTTCGATGCCTACACCAACTTAATTGTTCACTTGGAATATTTATTTATGGGATTCAAGAGTAGCCCTGACAAGAGATAAAATGAGGGAAAGCAGATTTAGATGATCCGGTCATTTACACTATACAGCACAATTAAGAAGTCATCTATTGCAAGTTGAATGATCTAGAAGATCAGGGCGAGGCCAAAACAGACATGTGTTGAAGTAGTGAGAAACAATTGCAGGGTCCATAATCAACAATAGACATGGTACTGCAAAGCATAGAGTAGAATAGGTGAAATAGGATTGATGTAGCTGACTTCATCCAGTCGGGATGAGACTTTGTTGTGTTGAATTTGAGTGTATGTTCTTAATGCAGAGTATTTACATGGTAAATAATTGAAGTAGATTAACATGAATAAAAATGACTGATGGATCATTAAGCTTCCACAATCTTGCCACGTGTAAGAATATTGTGTAAACAGGATTTAGACTTTTTTTGGGGGGAGAGAGAGAGAAAGAGAGAGAGAGAGAGAGAATGTCTGTGAAATGTTTAAAAAAATGGTCATGCATATCCTTTCCTTATATTATGTCTTCAATACAGACTGTTAGACTGACTACGCCCTAGGTTGTCATTCATTCAGTACCCCATCCAAACTCAACGCATTATACAATGTTTAACATTAAGGGGGTGTTTGACAACGTGGTTGGCTTTGTTTTTGAAAACAAAAACAACTGCCACATCAGCAAAACAATTGCCCAAAAGAAAGGATTTTTTTATTCCCACATGGTATGAACCATTGACCTGGCACTTTCTCCTGGATAGAAGGCGATGCACATAGGGGTGGATTCGAGCCGAGCCGAGCTGAATAGTATGAGGCTTGAGCTCGATTTTGAGAAAAAATATTTTATAAAAATAAAAGTTATATATAAAAATATTTTTTATTTGATATTTAAAAAAATAAGAATTATAATAATTAATAATTATAATATTTTTATTATATATATATATTCGAGCCGGCTCGCGAGCCTCACGAGCCGAGCTCTAGTAGGCTCGAGCTCAGCTTGTTTCATAATCGAGCTAGTGAATTGGGCTCGAGCTCGGTTGAGAGCAGCTCATGAAAAGCTCGGCTTTTCCACCCCTAGATGCACATAACTAAGTCTCTTTACCACCAGAACTTTGGTAGCATGCACCCCTACAATACATGGTGCACAATTCCCTAAAATTCTAAAGGTTTCATTTATCAGATTCTAGTTGAGGATTTTGTATACCAGATATTAAGTCAATCAGAGGGCCTTAACCATCTAAAAAGATTGCAGAGTTCTTGGCCAATCAAATAAAAAGGCTGTAATCTTGAAAGAGATATTTTACCTAGTCAATTAGAATCATCCAACAAATTGATTTTGTCTCCAAGGTTCCCTACTCCATTGGGCATTCATTCTATAATTTAGATTAAAATGGAGCTACACCAAAGTTGATGCAGGATGGTAAGGGGTTGTCAAGGCAACACCTAGGTGGACACCTAGGCGACAAGGTGCCCATGGAGGATCACCTCACTTAAGCGCCTAGCTATTTTGTACATGGGGCCATACAATATTTTTATATTCTTATTTAGAGATTATAATAATAAAATAGAAAATTATAAACTACATTATTCAACAGACCAATGACTTGAGGCTTTCGTGATCCTTCAAGCCCCTCCTAAAACCCATAGCCCTATCTTTTTTGTTCCCACAGTGATTATCAAAGAATCTGGACATCAATATCCTCAGTTGATTTTCTTGTTCTTTCTTTTTGATGTCCTTTGGTGATAGCTCTCTCCATCCCCTATTTCTCAGCATCAGCTCTATGGATTGGACCTGTCTCCTAAGGTGAAAGTCTTTTGTTGGGAGGCTTTCTTGAAAATTATGAACATGGGTGACATGCTCTAATAAAGGAAGATTAATCAGTGCATATCTCCTCGTACATGTGTCTTTTGTCTGAGAAGTGATGAGAATGCGAATCATCTCTTTCTTGAGTGCCCTTTCACTTTAAAGTGTCAGGTTGCCTTCCTCAACTCAACAAAGCCTGGTCCCAATTATATGGGGTCGGCTTCTTCCTATGCAGACAAAAAGAGGGAAGATTCTATGGCACTGAATAAGGTTAGAAATTCTAACAAAGTATTTGGTTCAAGAGCAACATACAACTTTTTTGAGAACAAAAGTCAAAATTCAGAAAGTATTAGTATTATAGACCTTTGCTTGATATGGGTGGAAGATAGGTTCAACGCTAGAGCGGGGTTTCAAGGAATCCCAATTGAATTGATCCTAAGAGGATAGTCAAAGACTAGTCAGTTCTATATGCCATAGGTTGCACTTGAACAAGGATATGTTGAGCTAAAGCTTGATGGTAGCTCTCTCGGGAACCCAGGCCAATCAGGTATAGGAGCTTTCAGATATAAAAAGGCCATTGCCCAAAGTTGGTAGCAGCTATTTGGGGTCTAAGAAGGAACAAACTGGATACGGTCCTAATTTTTTGCATTCTTCTGCACAAAATGGCTGCCCTTGAACCCACATTCTTACACTTGTCAGCCCAAGACTTTACCATCACACCATGCAATGACCCCTAGTTTTCAGATATCACATGGGGAATATGTTCTTTAGCTATATATTGGCCCAGCTAGAATGAGAAACTCTTTTAAGGGCTGTTAGCTCTTTTGCATGGTCTGAGTTTGCACGGGAAAGAGACTGAAGAGGTTGGTGGTTGAGGTAGATTGTCAAGTTGTAATCAGTTGGTTTCTCTCAGATTGAATGACCTTGATTTCTCAGGTGGGACTCCCAGGTCTGCTAACAGACTAACAGCAGACAATCTATCCAGGATGGAAGTCAACAAGAGAGAACTATGGGAGATGCCGGATGGTCCAGGGAAACATTTGTAATTTTGTTTTATGTTTGGGCTTTCCGATGCTGTCAATCATTGACTGTTAATTTTGTTCCTTTTATACCACTCCAAGTTTCTTGGAGAGCAGGCTGCACTGTGTTTTCTATTTCTATCTGAATGAGATTTTCCGTTGATTAAAATAAGATATTTTTATACATACCTAGTGCTTGGCGGTCAGTCTGAGCCTCCAACCAGTGCTGTTCAAATTGGATGTTATAAAGAGATTCCTCTAACTTAGCAATCTGTTCCATCAAGGGGTTGAAATGTTCTACGGACATAGAGATAAGCTATCAGAAGTTTATTCACTCAAGCTAGGTGCACACAAACTAGAAGATATAACCCAGAAACATAGTGCTCTTACCATCTTTAGCATGCTGATCAAAGTGTGCAAAATGGCCAACATGTACATCAAAGTCTATGGTTTCATGATAAGGAGATTTGTTAGTGAAGCAAAATTGGTGAAGACCTTTCTTGCGAACTATGAAGTCAAACTTTTCACTTGTCTTATCACGAGAGTCATGAATTTGATCACCAGAAGGCCCCTTTACCTGATTATAACAACACACTCATGCAATCAAGTGATGGTATTTATAGCAAATGAGAAACGGTGTAAAACAAAGGCTAAGGAAAGTCTCAGACACAAATCTCTGAAAATCAACCGAGTAGCATTAGAAGTCCGGAATCATCAAACTAGTATATAAGTTCTTTTCTTCTGTTTCCATCAAAATCATTACTGTAGATTGCTTTAAATGTTTGAGAAAAATGTAAAATGGCAAATGAAGATACTTGGTAGTTGGTACACCTGATCCCACTTCCCTGAAAATAAGCAGAACTTACCACAAGATCTACACCATCTTCACCGTAACTCCATGGTGTGTCAGCTTTAATCACAACAAAGGAAACATGAACGGTATCCCCTTCATACTGAACGTTGTGAGAGAAGCACTCTTCTCTGTCGATCACAAATCTAATTCCAACTGCTGGTTGCAAGCTTGATAGAAGCACCAGTGGGACAATAAGTGCAAATATCGAGGGAAGAACCTCCATCTGTAAATTCACCACAACAACACGAAAATATTGATTAGAGATAAAAGGGTTCCCAAGACAAACCAAGTATTATGTCGTGAAACTGTTTTTTGTCCTCGACCGCTATATCTACAGACAATTACGACTTCACACACCCACCCAAGACCAGAGAGAGAGACGAACAATCCATTAATAAGAAATTAGGAGTCTGGAAATCATATATATACAGACAACCACAAAGAATTAGAAAACGGAAACCCGCCACCCTCCCAGAAAAAAAAAAAAAAAAAGGATGGGAAAAAGAATGCAAAATCAAAAAACGTTCCTGTGTAGAACTTTAATTTAAAATCTAGCGAAGACGAAACAACGTAGAATCAGATCTGATAAGCTGAACTCTGATGAAAAGAAAGGGATAATTATGCATCCAACGAAATTATAAAATCCCTTTTGATTTCGTCGGTTAAAAGAAAAAGACGAAATGTAAATTATGGCATGAGGTAGGAATTAATTACCTTTGGATTTGAAGAATGCAATGGATGTAGGGAAAGTTTGCAGGAGAAAACGAAAGACTGCACCTTCTCTCCTCAATATTGAGCTCTCTCAAATATAAAATTGGTAAACTAACCAAACGAGCCTTCTCCGCTTCTTTATTTCAGACCGAGAAGTAACGAACGACAAATGACCTGACATTTGTTGTAATAAAGGTTGTTATTTGGGAATTGGGATCCCTCCCGTTGAGGAAGGTACGCGTTCGAACCCGTGGAAAGGCGGGCTCTTCGCCAGTGAGTCCCGCTTGAATCGTAGCGTCACACATATCACCGGACAACCCTCGAAATATGCTTCTTGCCGCCCTTCTCTAATAAATCGGACTGTGCCGCCCGTGGCTGGGCACGGCTCGGCATATAGACTGGGGGCCGTGCCAGGTGTGGCATGATTGTATAGGATGTATCGGGTTTGAGGTTTTAGGTCTATGGCCTGGTATGAAATCATACGATCGAGCGGGTCGTGTTATTTGCAGTCCTCTTATTGTATGATCCATATTATTTATATTATATATAAAAGTGTTAAAATTTTTTTGGACTAAAATTATCTTTCATTTTTTTATTTGAGAAAGGATATAAAAGTTATTTTATTATAGTTTTAATGACTACTATAATGATTATATTTATGTATTTAATTTATTTCTAATTGTAAGGTTTGAAAATGTAACTTTAATTATTACTTTACAGGTCATTTAATCCCCTCTCATTAAGTTTTACACTTATGGTATTAAATCTCATTTTCTCTTATTAAATCCTATATTTTTAAGTTATTTTTCGCTAATAAATGCTACCAATTAGATCTATGTCAATATTTTAACAATATAAATCTATAATTTTAAAACTGACTCAAAAACAAAATCATTCTTTATCCAAGTAGCAATTATGCAATTCAATAATCCAAATCAAATTGATCAACCTATAAAGTCATAGTTAGGTAATAAAGTTTTTTAAATAGAAATAAATATAGAAGATTACAAAAAAAAAACTAGGCACATTTATGATATTTTTATTAATCAAACAAAAAAATAAATGTAATAAACAAGAATTATTTTTACTGAAAATGAAAATGAAATACATAAGATAGAACTAACCAAAAATGAAATATAAAAACTAATAGTAAATAGTTCAACTTTTGGATTAAATGTGTTAACCTTTAATGTCATAAATAAATAATAAAGTTTAAAAAATACATAAATTTTGCAAAAAAAGAATTCAGACACATGTATAATATCATGTATTTGTCATGTTAAACTAAAAATAAGTGTGACATATCAAAATTATTTGTACACAAAAAATATAAAAAAATGATTATATTTCTATATTTACATTATTATTAATAATATGAATAAGATTGTAGAACTTTCTTTTGACAAAAATCAAGGTTTTAAAAACTGACCCAAAAATAAAACCACTTTGACTTTCGGTTTCTAGACCAACGGTTCAACCATCCAGTTTGAGTGGGTCAAAGTCCACCTTATATATATTATGAGAGGGGAGTGTGAGACTTTGAGAAAGAGGCGACTGGTTAAAGCTGAGAATTGAGAAAAAAAAAAGAGAATAATAAGATGGTGATGAAGAAGAAGAATAGAAGGAAGCATCGCCAGAGGTGGTTGTCATTATGTTCACCGGTCGTTGTTGCAGAACCATTTGCCTTGAGAAGAATAATAAGAAGGAATCGCCACCGACAACTATCTCCATGTTCATCATCACCATCACTACAACACAGTTTGCCCTCTTCTTACATCTCTTTCATTTCTCTAAATCTCTCTCAAGTCCTAGATTATTTACTTCATTGGTGTATCTTAGATTTTAATATAAGATCGGTGTTTAATCTCTCATCTCTTGGATCGAATTTTTGATTTCTTCTTTGCAGTTGCAATTTTTTTTTTGTTATACCTTAAAAAGAACCAAATAAATGAAAAAACTCACAATCAAAATGGAAAAACTAAAAACCCTAACTAGTTTTGACCATTGGGAACAATCGAATAGGATTATGAAATATAAAATTTTCTCTTTTTCAAATTATTTTAATTTATATTTTAAAATAAATAACAAATTTGAAATTAGTTTGAAAGCAACCCAAGAACCATTAATTGGGTTGAACATTTTAATGGTTAAACCGACCCGGTCAACGGTTCTCTAACTATTTCAATGGTTTTTTGTAAAATAGCAATCCAGGGCCAAAATGGAACCAATGACCTAACCAGTTCCCGGGCCAAACGGTTCGACTGTCCATTTTGGTTTGATTTTTAATACAATGACTAAAATATTCATTTGTTAATTTAGTCCCTATTTAATTGTAAGGTCTAAATTGTAAATTGAACTACTACTTTTCACCTCATTCAATTCCATCTATTTAAATCTTATTTTTTTTTATAAATGAACAAAAGAGAAAAGATACACAAAAGATAAAGCACTGCAAAAAGAGGAGTCTAGCCAAGTAGATAGGCATGTCAAAGATAATTGAAACTTCACAATTTGATATGTTTATCACATATTTGGATGAGGTGTTTATGCAACCAAATTTGGATTTTGCAATTTTCATTTGATTAATAATAAAAAACAAAAAAATAAAAAATACATAAAGTATAGAATTTTTGGGTATATTATTATTATTATTATTATTATTATCATCATCATCTAAAATTGCCAGTGCAAAGCCGTGGGCCGTGCTGGCAGCTTACAATTAAATATGCATATATATATATTATACATATTATATATAATAATTATATAATATATTAATATATATAATTTTATTTTCAATTTTTTTTATATTATTTCATTTTATTATTGTATATATAAACAATTGTATACATCAAAGTTCATATAAAATAAAATTTTCATATTTTTTCTATATTTTAATTTATGTTAAAATTTTCATTATTTTTCAAAATAAAAAAAAGGCTTGGCCCAATCCATGGACCAGCTTGGCCCATGACACGACATGATGAGCCCGCATGGGCTCAAGCCGTGGGTCGTGCCGGGCCGACCCCCCAAAGATGGCTTTACCTAGAGAGCAATAAGGAGCAAGATGGCTTTACCTGGAGCTGGGCCACCCCTATTTATACTTGACCTTGCCTTAGAGTGGTTGGAGGTTGTTGGGAATGGACGACTAGGATTCCCTCCGGCCAATGCCACGTGGCTTAATCCTGGACCCTACCATATGTGCCTATATCACTTGCCCCCCACTCTCGAGGTCATGATGGTCGAGGTCGAATTGGTGTGTTGAGCTGAGACCTCAACTTCGGCCGAAGAGAGTATTATAGCACCATGTGGAGGCATAGGATGGAGCGTTTGGCAAAGGCCTTGGCCTCGGTTGTTGAGAGCTCCCCTGGGTAACCCTGTAGTGGTGGTTCCTTTGTTGACATCTTGCTTCTTTGAGAACTGTGTCGAGCTGAGGTCACAAGGCTGTGCATGACACGGGTGCGAGGCATTCGCATTCATCTATCGAGTTTTGTACGGGCATTTGTCGTAGATCTGTATGTGGGACGGGTGTCAGCGTCGATTGGTCATGGCCGTGTCGAGATGGATGGCGGGTCACCCAATTCGGGTCACTCCTGTCCCAGAACCGGTAGACAGACCAAATGATTCTCTTGGTGTCGTTTCATATTCCCAAGGTAGGCACCATGTGGCATGCGTTGGTTCAGGTTGTCAGGTCGGCGGCTTTGCGGTCGTTGGATTGAAGCAATCTGAGCTATCCGTTTTCCTTTAAATGGGGTTGTTGGTTGAGGCAGCTCCCTACCATTTGCTTGCTTTCGCTTAAGTCTCCAGAGACCTTGGACACCAACCAACCCAACCCTTAGCTTTCTTCCTTCAACTCAGATTACTAGGTAAAGGACTCCTCTGGAACCATGTCATACTTTGACTCCGGTCCTGAATGCTATGAACTTCCTGACCTCTCTAACACTAGCATGCCCAATTCCACCTCGTCCAGTAGTGAGGATACCACTAGTGAATCCGAGAGCTCCCCTCGGGGGCCTGGAGTCCAGGTACTAAGGGTGAGGACTGCCCCTAGAGGTGTCGATGTAGTTGGTAGGACAAGGAATCTCTCGATGAAAGTACTATCTCTACGAGGCTGAAGGGCGACGCCGTAGGGAACATTTTAGCGTGTCCCGAAGTGGTGGAGTCGGAGGAGGCCGAGAACCTCACTCCTGAGGAGTTAGCCAAAGGCGAAGGACGAGGTGTGACTTTGATACATTATCCACGCTCCGACCTGGACAGAAAACTTAGCAAGGAGCAAGTGAGGGCCCTTGCTGAGATGTATCATATTCCTGGGGGCTATAAGGTTAGAGTCCCTAGCATCAGTGACAGGTCGTGGTAGCCAACCGAGGGGGGAGGTTTGTGTGCATATGCACTACCTCCACTTTTGGCCTCCAATTTCCAATTCCCCCACTCGTCTCTGATCTCCTCAATTGCTACAATCTCTCCCTCATTCAATTAGCTCCCAACATCGTTAGGACAATCATAGCTGTGTTGGTGATGTCCCACCTCCAAGGTGTGCACATAACCGTCTATGTCTTTCGGTTCCTGTTCACCTTGAGGAAGCACCCTACTAGGGAAGGCCTATTCTACTTACAAGCTCGACGGGGTAGAGTTGTGGACAACCTGTTGTCTGTCCACAACTGGAAGAAGAAATACTTCTTCGTGTCCTGTCCGAAGGGTTGGCCTTTTAGGTCTGACTAGGGGAAGCTGGATCTTGTTGTTGAGAGGATATGACCCTATAATAATGACGTGGAGGCCGACGTGATGACCTGGATTCAGGTGTCAGAGACGATTCGCACCGAGCCCTTGGTAGTAGAGGAAGCCTTGGTGTGGGCTGGCCTCAGCCCCACCTGCTTCGGTATGGGCACTCATGCTGTCAGTTATCTACGTTGACTTACTTTTATTCTTTGCCTTCGAACTGATGTATTGTGCAGTGTGTTGTAGAGATGGACAATGACATCAAGGATCGAATCATGGAGATGGCGAAGTCCACCAAGAGGGGCTAGGGAGAGGGGCCGTTGAGGAGGCCTATCCCGAAGGAGACAACTACTCCAAAGGAACCGCCTCGGGAGAAGGCGCCGACTGAGGCCAAGAGGAGAAAGGCGCCGGCCGAAGCCGAGGGGAGGAAGGCGCCCACACCTAAGAGGCTCGCCGAGGCCCCCCCAACCTCCAAGGGGGAAGAGACTGGCGGTGAAGGACTGCTAAGCCAAGGGTGTCGTCGGGGGATCTCGACAATCTAAGCCCCACTCTTTTGACATGCCATTGGCGGTGAGAAGAGTCTACCGCCCCAACTAGAACATCTGGGAGGGCAAGTCTCTCAGCACCCCGAAGGTCGGTCAAGCCTTGGTGATCGGGA